ACCCAATTAGTTAAACAATAACTATTGTGCATGAAGGTTGGTGCAAAAACCACAAAGTTTGAAAAGATTTTAAAATAATTGACCAATTAAATTATTGAGTAGGACAAAGGGATGCAACTTAGAAAAAGGACTGATACGTCTACTAACACAGAAAGAACCCAGTCTTTTATAAGCCAATGACTGGCCTAATATTTAAGTAATAGTAGGCCAGTGTAGCAGGCTCTATTTTGTGTTCCAGATCAGCACTAAAAATTTACACAAGTGTTCAATAAGTTCTTTTTACAAAACTTGTCTATTATAACAATATCTTTTATGAATTTTGAGTTGCAATCATGGTGCTTCATTTTCTAGGATATGATGATAAGCAAGACAGTGCAGAAGAGCAAAAATAATGTTTAAAATTTTTGACATTACCTTCCATTCTTCAAAGATATTATGCAAATGAAGGATCTGGTGATGGACACCCTTGGCATATCTTTTCCAATGGACAGCAATCTTTGCATCTGTAAAGCAATGCTTCTTCCCCCAATCCTTCAACCGCTCAGTTTTATCAATTACATATCTATTCAATGGTACTTTATCTGAAAGATAAACCCACGGCACTCCTTATGCTGGTGTAAACAGCATTTTATTCCGGACCAGGAATAGTATCATACCAGACACCACTTGTAAAGTGTAAAAAGTGTATTACAAATGTAGGCCAACACTACTAGTCTACTACACTGGTAAGTACCGGTACTAGTACTCCAAGTGAGCCTGTGAATTAAATTATCATTATCATTATTATTAACATTAATATTACTATTGGGTCTCTGGTATATCATCATCATTCTATTTCCGGCCATTCTTCTAGTTCTGGCTCTGTTAGCTAGCTAGGCCGCAGTGGGGTCTACTACTTCTACTCTAGGTCTAGGATAGCACTTACCCATGCACTATAGTAGTATGGCCTTGGTGTGTACCAAGGCAAGCGCCACCACGCGGTTAGCATTATATAATATAAATAGGTCTAATATTAAAGGACAGATGCGCCATTTTGGTGGATTGATTTGAGTTTTGAAAAATAATCAGAAGTACTAGAAATGTTCGAAAGTCGCATAATTCCTTAAAAAATATCTCAAACTATGAATTTTACCCACAAAGCCTACGTCTTTTCTATTCAGGCCTATCACATAGTATCTTAAAATGACGAGTCGTCATTTTAACAATCTGTAACAATATTGACCTAATAAGCCTCTTGACAATATTGTGGTGCATCGCCGGTGCCGAGCATCAGATTATGTAGTTTATATTGTCCAATCGTCTGTGCTTATCTTACTAATGGCTCATCATTAAAGTTTATGTATATTTTACTCTGCGTCTCTATCCGCTCGTACGCTGCTCCAACCCGCCCCAAATCATAATTTAACATGGTGGCTGAGTAAATTAGGATCCTGAGTGTAGAATAAGTTAACTTTTTGATGTATGTATGCCGTGTATTTCCTGAACTGATCTGTTTTCTGTCTGCAAGAGTGTATTTCTAAGCCACATTTCACGCTCTGACGTCATACATTTGCCATAGTTGTACTTGCTTTGAAGTCTGATACTGTCAACAAGTAACTGTCAATTACTTATCTGAAGTAATGGGTGACAATCCTGATAATCCTGGAGCAAATCAACAACCTGTTGAAGGAGGAAATAATAATAATGTTGCTGATCAACGTTGTCCTGTTATTAATGTATCTCCACCTGCTCAACTAATCTTGGGTGATAGCCCAGTAGAAAACTGGAAACTGTATAAACAAGCCTGGTCTAACTATAAAGTTATCGCTGGACTAGAATTAAGAACTGAAGAATATAGGAAAGCTTTATTTCTTCATAATTTAGGCCGTGAAGCTCAGTTAATTTATAATTCGTTTGTATATCTGCCTACTGAAGATCAAAATAGCCTGGAGATTATTCAACGCAAATTTGATGAA